AAAAAAAAAACATATTAAATTCTAATGATGTAGAAAACAAAGTGCATTTTGGCATGATCTGAAGCGGAGATGACATTTAACAGACTTCTCTGTAGAAATGCCTCATAAATCTTTATAGCGTGCATTTGATAGCGCTTCAGTGCGTAGGAAATGAAGATGATAATGTAGCCTACTGCTGATCCATACACCAAAAATCCTTCTGATGGATTTATAATGATAATGATAATAATAATAATTATGAAGTTTGCACAGTTATCGGTGTTACACTTGTTTCAAGTATTAATTAAAAGCTATCATGTTTAATATAATCATCATCATCATCATCATGCAGCATTAATCATCAACACCACAATAAACTGAAAGGTCTTTTTGTGGCGTTTGTTTAAAACGGCCTAACGTCTAATCTCGACTTGAAATATTGAACACCGAAAAACAGCAGTTTTAGTAATTTAAGAAATAAAGGAAATGTAATTTATTCTGCCACTGGAGGGCAACAGAGAAAAGCGCTTTCCCTTTTTTGTTGCTGTGGAAACGCAGAAAGTTTGTCGACAGTGCGCGGAGCGTTTGTGGGGCTGATTCTGAAAAGATGAGTTTGAATTTGGAGGCTTACTTCCGGTCAGTTTTCGAAGAACGACTCAAATTGTAAGTACAGGCTATATCATTTCACTATCAACCACTTCAGCTCGAACAGTGTTTTTCTAGAACCATCAATGTGCCGTCGTTATGGCCATTGAGATTTGGTTTCAGAGATTCATAGAAGTCGCTCAAGTGCAAATAACTGTTGCATAAGCATTGTTTGGGCGCATAGAGATGGCTCAGAGTGAATTCCATCTATTTAGAGATTGTTCAAAATTTCAGAAATAAGGTCGCGCAGAAGGATTTGGCGGATTCGAGTACAAGCGTTATGACACTTGTGGAGGCGCGCGAGGAGTGCGCGAGTGTGACCTGTGCTCTGGAATCTCAGAAAGAGGTGGTGAAAATCACGTTTCAGCCATTTACGTTTTTATTTTTTTATTTACATATTTAAAAAAATGCTTTTTAGCTGTTCCAGTTAAATAAGGTTTTCTCGCTTTGTCTTGTGTGTGTTGTTGTCAGGAGATGCAGATGAAGCGGGAGAATTTAAGAGAGAGAGACGAAAACATTAAGAAAGAAGAGGAGAAACTGAAGAAATCCATACTGAAATATAACAAGTTTTTGCAGGTAATGCAGCATTCTGAAACAACTAAATAGATATGGATACACGGCTAATGTGTAAAATGACTTGTAGGTAACACTTTTTTTGTTTTTTATCTCCCTTAATTAAGGAAAATGATGCCAGACGGTTGCGTGCCTTAAAGAAAGCAGAAGCAGAGAGAGCTCAAATCAGACTGAAAGAACTGGAGATTCTGAAGCTAAAGGCAGAGAATGACACCCTGCTGGCACGAAAAGAGATACTGGAGGATCGTGTCAGAAAAGCCATATGCTACCAAGAGTTCCTGGAGAGAGCCACAATAATGTCCGGAAAGGTAGTTGCACTATTAGTTGGTAGTCTACTGTTGTTGTTGTGTCTGGAAAGGGTACAGGTACTGAAACAACTCAGAGAAACTGTCAAGCTGGACTCACATGCCTCATTTGCCTGAAGATTGAGACTTTTCATACTTTAAGAGTTTGCAGTTATTTGAACTAGAGACTGGATATAAG